TTTTTTTACCTTCACTAAACTGACCAGGGTCCAAATTCCCTGACCATTCATTTCTGACTCTACTTTTTAAAAAATTGATAAATGATTTTCATAAATTACCCAAATAATACAGAAATAAATGAAGATAGAAATATAAAAATCACCTTAAACTTTACTACCCATAAATTGTTACTAAGTAAACATCTTGCAGATATCATTCTATAAATATGTACAAATAGTAGTAGAACAGAAATAATTTTATAAAAAGTGGGATCAAACTGTAGCTTTTTTTGTTTGTTTAAAGATTTTATTTATTTACCTTTAGAGGGGAAGGGAAGGAGAGAGGGAGAGAAATATCAATGTATGGTCGCCTCTCGTGCATCCCTTGCAGGGAACTGGGCTGCAGGCCAGGCATGTGCCCTGACTGGGAATGGAACCGTGGTCGTTTGGTTCGTAGGCCCAAGATCAGTCCACTGAGCTACACTAGCCAGGGCTAGCTTTTTATTTTAAAGTGCATTTTACTTTATGTAAACTTAATAAAAGGCAATGAAATAAAATTGAATTTTACATAAATATTTCTTCTTGACAGAGATTATTTTTTTAAATAAGTGATACTTCACTAAGTTAATGCTAAGGGAGCAGCCATGAAGAAAAAGAATAAATGGGGAATACCTACAGATTTGATTTACATGTTTATAGCTATATATAAAGGTATTTGCTGGAGACTTCATAAATTGGTAAAGAATATCCCACCAAGATGAAAAGGAGACTTACAGAATGTTTTGTGGGTACTCACCCACAAAGAAGTGATTTGCCCATCTAATATTCAATTTAATTTCCTAGTTATTTAGAGCAGAGGTCAGCAAACTTTTTCTGTAGAGCTAGATAGTGATATATTTTATACTCTGTGGACTGTGTTCATTTTCTTTTGTTTTTATCTTTGCTTTTTGTAATTCAAAACCTTTTTTTTATTTTAATTTTTTAAGTATACTTTATTGATTGTGCTATTACAATTGTCCCAATTTCTCCCCTTTTGCCCCCCCTCCGCCAGGTATTCCTGTTCCCTCCAACCATCCTCCCCTTAGTTCATGTCCATGGGTTGTGCATTTAAATTGTTTGGCTCTTCCATTTCCTACGCTATTCTAACTTCCCCACCTATTTTGTTCGTAACACTTAGGCTTCTTAATCCCTGTACCATTTCCCTATTCTCCTCCTTCCCCCTCCCAGCTGATAAAACCTCCAAATGATCTCCATATCTGGGATGCTGTTCATGTTCTGGTTGTTTGAGTAGTTTCTTTTCTTTTCTTTTTTCTTTTCTGTTTTTCTTTCTTTCTTTCTCTTTAATTCAGTTGTTGATAGTTGTGAATTTGTTGCCTTTTCAATATTCATGGTTTTGATCTTCTTTTCCTTAAATTATTCCCTTTAACAGTAATGGCTTAATAACGATGAATTCCTTTACCTTTACTTTGGGAAGCACTTTATCTGTCCTTTGATTCTAAATGATAGCTTTGCTGAATAAAGTAATCTAGGTTGTAGGTCTTTTCTTTTCCTTTTTTTATTGTTGTTTAATTATAGTTGTCCTCATCCCCCCATTACTCTCTCCTGCCCTACCCAACCCCTACCTCCCACTTTCAGTCCTCCCCCCAGTCTTTGTCCATGGGTCCTTTATACATGTTCCTTGACTTGTCCCTTCCCCCCTCCTATCTCCCCTCTGGTCACTGTCAGTTTATTCTTCATTTCCATCACTTTGAATACTTCTTGCTAGTCCTTTCTTGCCTGCAAAGTTCCTTTTGAGAAATCAGCTGATAGTTTTATGGAAACTCCTTTGTAGTTAACACTCTGCTTTTCTCTTGCTGCTTTTAAGATTCTCTCTTTATTTTTAATCTTTGGCATTTTAATTATGATGTGTCTTGATGGGCTCTTCTTTGGGTTCAACTTGTTTGGGACTCTATGCTTCCTGGATTTGTATGTCTATTTCCTTCAAATTAGGGAAGTTTCCTTTCATTATTTTTCCAAATAAGTTTTCAATATTTTGCTCCTCCTCTTCTGGCATCCTTATGATTTGGATGTTGGTACTTTTGGAGATGTCCCAGAGGTTCTTAAGCCTGTCCTCATTTTTTAAAATTCTTGTTTCTTCTTTTTGTTCTGGTTGAATATTTCTCTCTTCCTTATGTTTCAAATCGGTGATCTGAATCCTGGTTTCCTTCCCTTCTCTGTTGGTTTCCTGTGGATTATTCTTTCTTTCCCTTAGTGTACTCTTCATTTCTTCCTTTACTTTTTTGTTATATTCAAGGAGTTTCTCTGAGTATCCTGATAACTAATGTGTTGAACTCTGCACCTGATAGGCTGGCTATTTCTGTTTCCCTTTTTTTCTGGGGTTTTGTTCTGTTCTTTCTTTTTTTTTTTTTTGTCTCCTCAGTTTAGCAGTCTCCCTGTGTTTGTTTCTGTTTATTAGGTAGAGCTGCTTTTACTGCCTGTCTTAGTACTGTGGCCTGTTGTAGAAAAGGTATCTTTAAATTGTGTGGGGCAGAGCCTTAGGTAATTGCCAGGGTGGGATAACCCATTTCATCACTTTGTGGCTGTGTGGAGAAGGCTTGGAGAGGGGACAATGCTGCTGCCTGGCTCCTTGCAGTTCACCTGGCACCTGCTGCCCTGTTTTTAGTCACTTCACCCCTTTCCCATGTGTGACTGGCGTCCTTCCAGCTGCTGCCATGGTGATGAATCCTGGAGTGGGTGGGTGTGCATATGTTCTAAGTCTATGCTAGCCCTTTAAGTGGTGAAAATCTGACAGTTCTTCAGCTGCCCCAATCCCCACTGGTTTTTACAGCCAGAGGTAGAGGGGATCTATCTTCCTGGTGCTGGAACCCTGACCTGTGTGGCCTGGCCTGGGGCTGGGATAGCTCATTCCCAAGGCACCCCTCCCATCCCTTCCACTACCACTGCTGCCCCATTCCACTTCCACTCCCCTTCTCTGCCCATCTCTGCGACTCCTACCCATCTGGATGTGTCTTCTTTAAATCGTTGGTTGTCAGGCTTTCATACAGCTCAATTTTCTGACAGTTCTGGGTATTAATTAGTTTTGAAATCTGGCTGTAACTCTTTCTATGGTTGTGCAAGGAGGTGAAGTGTGCCTACCCACGTTTCCATCTTGACTGGAAGTCTGTATGAGTTTTCTACTGATGTGCAGTAAGTTATTTCAATCTTCACAGGTTTAAAAACACCCAGTTATTATTTCACTGTTTCTGCAAGTCAAAAGTCTGGGTGGGTTCAACTGGGTTCTCTGTTACGGATCTTACAAGGCTGTGACCAAGGTGTTGGCTCAGCTGGGCTCTTACCCAGCTGTGGGCGAAGAATCTTCTTCCAAGTGCACTCAGGTGCTGGCCAGATTCAGTTCCTCGCAGGTGTAGGACTGAGGTCCCTACATTCTTGCTGTCAGTTGGCCAGAGCTCTCAGAGGCCTCCCTCTCAGCTCCTCAAGGCCACTCTTAGGACCATTTTAGAATTCTGCCTGCCACAGTCTGCCCTCTGGCCCCCATGGTTCACATATATCTGACATGTAAAATGTATTCACCCTAGTCTAAGGTTCTTAAAAGTCTTATCCTACTACATTATCAGTTCAAAGTAAAAAGACCCAACGCATGAGTCTGAATCTCATCATCTCAAAGTCCCAAATCTCATCCAAATCATCTGCTCTTATCTAAATCATGGTTCTTGGGCAAAATTCTTCCTACTTACGAACCTCTGCAACTAAAGAGACAAGTTATCGACCACAAATACTTCCACATTTAAACATTTACAAACCAAAAAAGAGGTGACAGTAAGTATAGTATATCCCCATGGGTTTACAGGGTAATATTTAGCCTTTAGTAGGAAAACTAATAACTTGTTACAGTTTAAAATTTCAGAATGGACAATTTTAGGAAATGCCTTTTAAAAAAATGAAATCAGGAATTTGTCAGAGTAGAGAAAAAAGTGAAGGTCAATTAAATATTGTGCCATTCTTAGTATGATTTAAAAATTTTCTCATTATTTAATCAGAGTGATTAGTAGCTAACATGGTGTGGGGTTCTACTGTGAATGATGGTCCTCTAAGATCAAATGCTGCACAGTATAAATTCAGTATAAAGTCTTGGACTTATGCTTACACATCTAAAAGCTTAAATACCATTGTTTTAAAATATAAATCTATTCTGAAATCTGTATACTTATAATATAAATATGTTTTTTAGTTAGTATAACAGAGATGAGTAAATATAATTCATAATTTACATTTAAGCATATCACAGATTTTTTCATACTCTACGTAACTACGTGGCATAATGCATCTCTCTGGTTGAAATAAACAGTGTGGCTTTCTGGTGATCTGCAATGCCTTGTGGGAATTTAGTTAGAAATATGGAGAAAGACACACACACACACACACACACACATATATGATCAGAATCTAGAGGAAAAAGAGGAAAGGAAGAACAGCTCATAGCACTAAATTTAAGTATTCTTCCAGAAATACTACAAAACCTTTGTTTACAAGGGTAAAAAATGTAACAAGGCCATTGTTTCTGAACCTTTAAAAATCACTTCACAGCAGTTCTGGAAAGACAGTCATGACCGAGACAGCAGCACATCTTCTCTAAGAAGCAAAGAGTATCAATGAGGGTACAGAGCTGGACCGTTCTTAACGCATCACCTACTTCTACCCTGGAAAGGAAACAACATATTCTATACGGCATTCAGATGACGTCATAATCAACCACCTAACAGATGTTTAACAAAGGAACACGTGTTTAAGATACTGGGATAGACTCTGTGAAGGATAAAACACATAAAATAAATCATATATAATCTTCAAGGGCAACTTTTACAGATGAGAAAAATTTATACCTACCTATTCAGGGCTTAGAAATTTTGTGAAGGTAGTATTACTATGCAAAAAGTAGAATGAAAAGGATGTTGGGTATATCATATTAAAACTGTGCGTACCACGAACTTAACTGTATGTGGGCTAGTTGATCAGATACTCACAGAATGATTGTAAGAAGGTTCCAATATCACAGGTAATGACATTTTCCCTTGAAGATTCAATTTTGTTAAATAAAAAATCTTTTCCCCCACAATCTTTTCTTTTTTCATGCGATGTACACCATACAGTCTAAATCGAACTGCATAATTTCCAATCATCTCAGATTCGACATGGTTAAATTTGAACGTTTCTGTGAAGACGGGGCATGGTCCTCTCTGGATGCTGGTTTTTGCTCTCTGTTTCTTTATAGGTAGAAGAACAAGGTGTACTTGCCATGAGTTGCCACCTGTCCTGTTATATGTTGGGATATCTGTGACAGCTGTCACTGTTACCAGAAGCTTCTGTTCTTGTGAGTCATAGTCAAAAGTCACATCCAGTGTGCCATATTTAGCTTCTGGCTCAGGATCAAAAGGTTTAGGAAGCTGTGAAGATGATCCTTGAGCTGACATATCCTAAGAAAAGCAAATTTAAACGTTTTCAGTTTTAACTCTATTATTTAATCTAGCATGTAAATAAATATCTGATAGGAGGATGATGATGTGAGAACTGTTTTGATTTGATACCACAAAGAAAGTAATAATAATTAACAGTCTACTACAAGCGGAAGCTACTCTACAGGGCCACTGTAGTCATAAGTGGTAAGTTAAACTCAAAAACTTACAAAGAGACAGAATCTAATATTCACCATCACAATTTTGAGGAAGTTGGGATATGTTTTTATAATGAGAACTGAAAACAATGTAACTGACAGCTCAACATTAGGCTGGAGAACAAAAAACTATAAATAATTTAAGTATAATGCTATTGAAAAACTGGTCCCATTTTCAGTTTGTTCTAAAACACCCCCCATCTGTAATAGAATATAAACACATTTAGGCATGAAAATCAATGGATGTGTGAAACACGAAAGTGTAAATAAATACAAAGGCCTCAAAATATGGGCAGCCAAATACTTATTTTCTATACCATACACTATTTTTCATTTGAATTTAAAACTACATATTATTTGATACTAATTACTACTGAAAATGGCAGAAAAATACGTATTTTAAAAGTTCAAGAAAGACAAAATCTGTTCATTTTAATTATGCAAGGAAAAGAAACTGTACCTGTTTTACCTGGAATTGTCTCAAATTCCTGCCAATGTTTGGAATGTAAATAGAATTTCAGCTGGTTGTGGACAGTGCCAAACCCAGGTCTCTGCCCTTTCAACTATACCAGTTACCCCTTCAAGTATTTTAGTAAATCTTGAATGTTTTTCATTTTAAAATGTGGACCAATGTTATAATTTTCTAAACTTTTCTGAACTTTTCTTTAGTGTCTACTTGCTAGTGAGTAGTCACTACTGTTGGCTACCAATCTTCTCTTTGTGTACTTCTCAAAAACACAACCTGAGTTTTAGCCAGAGACAGAGTGTGCAGAAGAGACTATAATTCTAAACTTTCCTACTAGCTGGATGACCATGAGACTCAGCCTTGGTCAACGGGAGGCCCACAGAGGCTATGCATGGGACATACAGATCAGGTTTATAGAAGAAATTACTTGCCCTTCACTTTCTTTCTCTCCCACACTTCGCACAGAAGAGCAGATACTGAGACGGGATGTGCGGGTCAGTGTGGACTACGTAACATGTGGACTAGAACACCCTGGGGACGACAGAGTGACACAAAGAAGGAACTGAGCCCCCGACTGATGCAGAGGAAAGTCACCTACTCACCCTGGACATTCATTAGTGAAAGACAAGAAAGCCTCTGTGAGTTTTACCCAATGTATTTGGCTCCTCATTAGACAGCTTAATACTTACCCTAACTATTGTATCTACTATGTGCCGAGCCCCTGCTTAGCTGGGAGGGATGCGGAAGAGAACCAAAAAACACAAGTTTTGACCTTATAAATATTACCCATCCGTTTACCACGGCTCACCTGGCTACATACACGGAGAAGAGGACAAACGAAGAGCGCTCGGCAGAGGGAACAAAGTCTCAGAGAAGAACCGTTTTTTTTAATACTAAAGAATCCAATCAGAGTAAATACATTCTTACTTTGTAAAGAAAACGTAGTTTAGAGCAAAATGTTTTAATGAATGCCACTTCATAATGACAACTGAGGGTGAGATTAATTACATGGCTTTGATACTTCAGTTAAATATTTTCTAAATTAGTGTCATGACAGCTAAGATTTTCAAGGCAATAAAAGTTTTTATAAGGTTGTAGTTTTGTTTCTCTTGGTCCCTTCCTAACTTTTTTCCTGGCATTCTGACAATTCTCACAGAACCAAGGGTAAAAAGAAAGGGGACCTTAGCAGATTAAGCTAATATTTGTATCTGCAATAGGCAATTAGAAAATAATTCTTCCTTTCAAGGTCTCTTCAAGTTCTGAATGGTCTTCAGCTAGCAAGAGGCCATCAACAGAGTTCATGAACTCCTCGCCAAGGAGCTCTTCCAAACGCTCACTGCCTGCCCAGCTCGGCAGTGTATATGGGGAGGTTCTAGGAACAAGAGGAAAGTAAAAATTTTGCATTGGATTAATATCCACTAGAGAAATAGTGGGGAGTAAAATAAACTTAAAAACGCAAGAGTGAATTTTGCACTAACGTACGCTATCATCACCTAAATGTTACGTAATGTGCATTGGCTCTACTGTTTATGTACAGTTGGTTCTGCTGTAGAAGACACAAAACCAAGCAGGATGGAGGAGACTCGTAAGAAGTGTAAACACAGACAGCAAGTAAGTTAACAGCTTCTGCAATATGGGCAGAACTCACAGGCTGTGTTAACTATCCATAATGAATAACAAGGTAACTTTACAGAGACAGGTGGAATTCTGACGATGTGTTAAGTATAGACAGTAACAAAATTAATAACTTGTAAGATATGTTAAAGACACACACAAGAATGAATAGAAAATATGATATAGCAAATGAGTGTTACCTATGAAGGGGGATGGAAAGCCCAAGCCATGACCATGTCTCCTCTGGGCGGACAGCTCTGTCACCCACGTGTTCCACTAAAGAAATGCAGATAAAACCTATGCCTATTTAGCAGGCTAACTGCCCAAGTTCCACTGGTGACCAGGAGTACTTGCCCCTGTATTGCTCCCACAAAATAAGTCATGTGTTTCTAGCCCGTGGCACCTCTGCTGCTATATCAACTCTTGTCCTTGTTTCCACACGTAATTGGGGGAGGCTGATGGAGCAGAAAGAGTGAGACGGGACATGTGGGCGTCACACGAAGCAGGATTTGCGCGGTGCGGTCTTGCCGCCTGCACCGCTGGCATCCTGTCCTAAGTGTGTGCCGCTGACCTCGCCTTCCTTCTCTTGCATCTTGTTTGTGTTTGAAATGTTGGCAGTAGATGAAAATTCACCCAGTAAGAACAATGACACATTTCAGTTTCACAAAATGTTGTCTAGGACAGAAGTTGTAAAAACTTGCAATGTAAGTGGAGTAAAAGTAAATACCACCCTATGAAACCTCCAGATTGCCTTGATAATTTTCGTCCTTGTAGAAATATTAAATAAAAAACTTTTTCCAACATGGAAAGGCCTCAAGTGTGTGACAGCCCTATTGTTAGTGTCATTTTCATATTTTTTCTCCAAAAGAGAAAATAAGGGATGGGTGGAGGCAGGCAGGGGAGGGGGGAATGGGGACATTTGTAATAGTGCCAACAACAAAATAAGAATAAATAACTTAATACACAACCACTCCACCATTCTGAATGCATTATGCCATGAATCTAAATGTTATCAGTAAAGTTTCTCTCTTCCCTATTCTATGATAAGAAAATGCAAAAATGTTGTCTTGTAAAATATTAATGGACAACTTACCACTAACAAAAAATATCCCAAATAAAGTAATTTTTAAAAAGACACCAATATAAATAAAAACCTCAGCATGAAAAAAACAGGTAAATAATTCTAGAATAGTTTTATTTTAAATGTTAAAAATTTTTTAAAATCTACGTTGAGGTTGAAACTTGGGGGAAGATAATTTTTCAATATTTTGTGTATTGCTCTCATTTTTAGCTACCCATTTTCTTTTCGGGGGTAGGGGGAGCTGCAGTTTGGTCAGGACACCCCTGGTAAGCCAGCTGGATAAAGATCAAATCTAGGATAGAAACTGGTATAATTAAGCCACAAAGGACAAGATAGTGGTAACACCTTCTTACCACGAGGAGAAGCACAGGATTACTATTGTCCGAATAAGATTCATTTAAAAGTTCTGTGCGCTGTTACTTACTTCGGGGCTCAGGACTGCGGTGCTGTCACTCGGAACATCTTCTTCGCATCCTTTGTTATGAAAGCTTTCTATTCCACGGCCTGTGCTTCCTTCACTCGGGCACTTGCTATAGGAGCACCTTGGACTGTTGCTGCAGTGGGAAAATTCACATTTACTGTCCCCAATTTCTGAGGGTGTGCATGAGAGGTGGGGAGAACCACTGTCATCCTGATATGGCGGTGGCTGCAATTCATCCAGTGGGGGTGTTCTTCTCATTCTCTGAATGCAGTTTCCTGACAACGATCAAGAATCTGGTCACCGTTTCCAAATGGCCTCAACATGCAGTACAGTGCACAACAACTGTCAATAACTTTTAAAAAACGGATTCAAAATTTGTGGCAAGGTAACTATTAGATTTTGTTGTTCTCTAGTTCAGATGCAGAAATAAACGAATCTGCTTTCCCACTCCTCTCTTCCTGCACAGTAGTATCAGGAAAAAATACAATATATTCTCATATGTCACTACTAAGAGCAATCCTGTTACATGGTATTAAAAAGTGGGAGAGTGATGATTGGTTTACTCGCTTAGTTCTTTCTTTCAAAACAACCATGAAGCATACACACTCCATCTACTCCCTTATGATCTGTGGCCTCTCCAGCCACAGCAGGGAAAAATATAGTAGGTAAAACACATATAAAAACTTCACTTATTTTCTTCAATTGCCGAGATGAACTTAAACTACCATTCAGCTTAACAGGTCAGAGACTATTTTCTACATCTCTCCTATCCTAGATCCAGAACCCTAAAATGAGGTGCGTTGTGGGTCAGTGCCTAATCCCCATGGAGCAGCAAAAACCGAAGGCTGCGCTCCATCCCATTCCCACCTCGCTGTTGCCACAGCAGGAGGCCACCGCGTGGGGGCGCCCACTCCAGTCGGTCCATGTCCATCTACACTCCACCGAAAGTGTGGCGCCTCCTTGTCTACAGCAGGCCTCTCTACCCCCGGCAGCTCATTTGAAACCACATTTTCTTTCACTCTTATCCTGTCAGGTTATCCAGTCAATTTTTATATTAACTATTTCTTAATGACTGAGAATAAACATGTCTACAAACAGGACAGGGGTGGGGGCAGGAGGGAGATGTAAGGAAACAGAGTTTGGTTTACAACTGAAGAACAGCTAAGTCTGTGTAGATAAACCCTGAATGCAGTATCATACAACATTTAAACACTACTCAGTTCTTTTAATGGACTATGAATCTCCTTTCTCAAAAGGGACCCTGGAAAAAGATTGTATTATAATTCTTATAAAGGAGTTCAGATATTCAAAAAGGTCTTCTGCTCTTCTCAGATTGAAAAACTTTACATTAAAACTATAAAACTCATTTTAAAATTATTACAATGCCTGGTGCAAATGAAAAATATTAATTTGTATGGACTCAGCACAAATTTACACATTTGCTCAGAAGCCCTAAATGCCATACCAAGTGAGTATAACATACCAACTTTAGTTTATTAAACATGAGCAAAAAGTAGAAAGTTATCAAATTAATACAGTTGAAGCTAAATTTGAGAAGACAGGATAGGTTAAACAGATACACTGCAAGCAGTTGCCAATAAAACACAATATCCCAGACTGCGCAGGCTAGGGCCCCAGTGATGGGAATTAAAGCCAAAAAGCACCAATTGGAAAAACTTTTTGGGTTGAGTTGCCAGGAGAAGCTCCCAGGCTCACAGAGAGCTTGTTGGAGAGACCACAGGGTCCTGGAGGATGCACAGGCCCACACACCTGGGAGCCGGCACGAGGTGGGCCAGGTTTGCTTGCGGGAAGCAGCAGAGGGGACCAAAATCCGATAGAGCATGAAACAAGCACCATTGCACCTCTCTGACCCCACCCCCACATACAGCATCACAAACCAGCGACTGGGTCATCCTGCCCTGGTGAACACCTAAGACTCCGCCCCTCATACAGAACAGGCACAACCAGACCAAAAGATTATGGCTCAAGAACAGCTTAAAGCCCCAGAGCCAATACATCTAAGTGACCAAGAGCTAGCCAACCTATCAGATGCACAGTTCAAAACACTGGTGATCAGGATGCTCACAGAACTGGTTGACTTTAGTCACAAATTAGAGAAACAAATGAAGGCTAAACTAAGTGAAATGAAGGGAAATGTACAGGAAACCAATAGTGATGGAAAGGAAACTGGGACTCAAATCAATGGAGTGGACCAGAAGGAAGAAAAAAATGACCAAACAGAAAAGTATGAAGAAACAAGAATTCAAAAAAATGAGGAGGCTTAGGAACCTGCAGGACATCTTTAAACATTCCAACATCAGAATTATAGGGGTGCCAGAAGGGGAAGAGGAACAGCCACAAGTGGAACACTTATTTGAACAAATAATAAAGGAGAACTTCCCCAATCTGGCAAAGGAAATAGACTTCCAGGAAATCCAGGAAGCTCAGAGAGTCCCAAAGAAGTTGGACCCAAGAAGGAACACACCAAAGCACATCATAATTACATCAGCCAAGATTAAAATGAAGGAGAGAATTCTAGAAGCAGCAAGAGATAAGGGGACAGTCACCTACAAAGGAGTTCCCATCAGACTGTCAGCGGATTTCTCAAGGGACCTTACAGGCAAGAAGGGGCTGGAAAGAAGTATTCCAAGTCATGAAATCCAAAGAGCTACAACCAAGATTGCTCTATCCAGCAAAGCTTTCATTGAGAATGGAAGGGCAGATAAAGTGCTTCTCAGATAAGGTCAAATTCAAGGAGTTCATCATCACCAAGCCGTTATTATATGAAATGTTAAAGGGATTTATCTAAGAAAAAGAAGATAAAAAATATGAACAGTAAAAAGACAGCAAACTCACAGTTATTAGCAACCACACTTAAAAGCAAACACCTAGAACGGGAACAGAACCACAGAAATGGAGATCACATGGAGGGTTAGCAACAAGGGAGTGGGAGGAAAAGAAGGGGGGAGAAGGTACAGAGAATAAGTAGCACAGATGGTAGGTAGAAAATAGGGGGAAGGGCAAGAATAGTATGGCAAATACAGAATCTAAAGAATTTGTGACACATGGATATAAACTAAAGGGGGGGAATGGTGGGGGGGTGTGCAGGGTGGAGGGGAATGGAGGGGGGGAAATAGGGCAACTGTAATGGCATAATCAATAAAATACATTAAAAATAAAAATAAAAAACAAAAACAAACAAACAAAAGAACACACAATATCCCAGATTTCATGGTGGGGCTTCCCGAAAAGCTTTTGTCTTCCTGACAAAAGCAGGCAGACTCAACTGGCACACCCTTTTGCCTAATGGCCTTTCCCCTTCCTCCTGCCTGGAGGTGCAGCAGCCACCCCATAACTGTAAAGGAACACGCAGGAGAATGAAAGCTAAGGATGGAGAAGCAGAAAAATAGAGTCTGAGTACCTGAGACAACCCTAAATTCCTAGCTCCAAATTTCTTGATGCTTAAGACAAATAAATTCTTATTTGTTTTTTTAAATAACAAAGTAACAAAAAAATCAGAGTTAGATTTAATGTTGTTTCCAGATATATTCTCTACTAATCATTTTGAAATCATTAGTATTTACTACAACATAAAGTCAACTAAAAAGTTCCTAATACAGTGGTTCTAGGAGTCAGTAGATCTTTTCACAGATCACTGATTTTTTTTTTTTTTTAAGAGAGGTGATCTTTCCCAAAAGTCTCTCAGTGTATTACCCACAGATCCCACTAGACGGAACTGGGTCACATGTCTATTTCTAAACCCACCTTTAATAGGGAGAATGGAATTGCTGTAATTGGCTTAGATTAATCAGAAGCCATTAAATTAAAGCTGTGATGGGGTCAGTTTCACTGTTCATATCTATTTGGAAAAAAGTAGATGCCACTGACCCAGAAACAAAGAGAAAAGACTCGTATATAAAATCAGAAATAAAGAAAGGATATTACTACTGGTACCATAAATACCAAGAATCATAAAAGACTGCTATGAACAATTAAATGTCAACAAATTGGAGTTAAAAGAAATGGGTAAATTTCTAGAAAATACAATCTACCAAGACTGAATCAGGAAGAAATAAAAAATCTAAACAACAAACAGTTACTAGTAAGAAGACTGAATCAGGAATAAAAAACATGCCAACAAACAAAAGTCCAGGACCAGATGGCTTCATGGGTAAATTCTACCAAACACTTCAAAAATATTTAGTAACAATCGTTCTTGAACTATTACCAAAAGAAAAGAAGAAGAAGGGAATACTTACAGACTCTTTTTACTAGGCCAGCATTACCATGATACCAAAGCCAGATAAGACATTACAAGAAAAGAAAATTACAGGCCAATATCTGTGCAAAATCTTCAATAAAATATAAGCAAGCCAAATTTCAATAATACATTAAAAAATTAGACACCATAATCAACTGGGATTTATTCCAGGGATGCAAAGATGGTTTAACATCCACAATCAATCAGCATGATATATCACATTATCAAGATGAAGGATAAAAATCACACAATCATCTCAACAGATGCAAAAAAGCATTTGGCAAAATTCATCATCCAGTCATGGTAACAACTCTAAATAAAAGACACTGGGTACAGAGGAAACACACATCAACATTATAAAGGCCATACATGAAAACCCATAGCTGATACCACACTCAGTGCTAAAAATCTGAAAGCTTTTCCTCAAAGATGGGGAACAGCACAAGGAAATTGACTCTCACCACTTTTATTCATCACAATACTGGAGTCCTAACCAGAACAACGAGGCAAGAAAAAAAAAGGCACTAAACTGGAATGGAAGAAATAAAACTATCTCTATTTGCAGATAATAAGATATTACATATGGAAAACCCTAAAGACTCCACCACACACACACAAAATTATCAAAACCAATCAATGAATTCAGTAAAGTTACAGAATACAAAAATCAATATAAAAATTGATTATGTTTTTATCCATTATTTAAAAAAAGCTTTTTGAAATCTCATTTACAATTGCAACAACAAAAATACCTAGAAATAGGTTTAAGTAAGGGAGGGGCATCAAAGACCTATATATTAAAAACTAAAAGACAGTAGAAAAAAAGAAATAGAAAATAACACTAATAAATGGAAAGATATTCCATGCTCATGGGTTAGAAAAAATTAATATTGTTAAAATGTTCACACTATCCAAACCAATCTACAGATTCAATGCAATCACTATCAAAATTCCAAAGGCATTTTTCACAGAAATAGAAAAAACATTCTAAAATTTGTATGAAGGCACAGAAGA